ATTGATAATAAACTTATGATTCCTGCAGAGGAAATATCACTAGATTCTAATATAAGCTTCAGATATCCAAAAAAAACAAGCCAGTCAGCAACAAATTTACAAACCAATTTCATTATTATATGTACCAATTAAAAATTCCATTAAACAACTTTTAGATAAGCCAGGTTTTTTTGCTTGTCTGGAATTAAATAAACGACATAATAGTGAGGTTTATACTAGTTTTTTGGACAGTGAACTTTATAATGAAAAACAATATTCGTCTAGCATAGTTTTTATTAATCTTTATTACGATGACGCTGAAATGGCAAATCCACTTGGCTCAAAAAGTGGTAAACATAAATTGGCGAATTTTTATTTTCAAATTTTGAATATGCCGAGACATTATCTTGCAAGTAGTGATTCAGTTATTCTATTGTGTAGCATAAAAAGCAATGATATGAAAATTCAATCGCAAAACTCGGTTATGCAATTCATTATCAAAGAGCTAAAAGATTTATGGGAATACGGAATTGATTTCATGTATAACGACACAACAAAAAATGTTAAGATAGCAATGGCCCAGTTTCTAGGTGATAATTTAGGAATTCATAGTGTGATGGGTTTTTCAGAAAGTTTTAAAGCAAATTTTCCATGTCGTCGTTGCAAAATGCATCGGTCAGAATGTCAAATTGCAGCTGTAGAAGATCAGAGCAAATTACGAACAATTCATAATTATGCTGAGGATCTTAAAATTAATAATTTGTCGCAAACTGGCATAAATTTTGAAACTGTTTTAAATCAGTTGCCTTATTTGCATGTAACCGAGAACTTAGTTTTTGACATCATGCATGACGTCCTTGAAGGCGTTTTTCCTGATTTTTTTGTATTAATGATTAACAAATTCCTTCATAAAAAATGTCTTACTCTAGATAAACTCAACCACAGGTTAGAAGCATTTGATTACGGGCGGCATTATAGCAAATCAAAACCATCAATTATTAAGACATCTTTCGTAAAAGGAGACACAAAATCTGGTCAGAATGCATCACAAAATTTGTGCCTTATAATTTGCCTACCATTAATTATTGGCGACTTAGTGGATACATCAGATAGTGTTTGGCAGTTATTTCTCATACTTAGGGAAATAGTTGATCTGATTTTAGCAGACCAAATTTCAAAAGGGGGGATAGATTTGCTTTCAACTTTAATTACGGAGTATTGCTCGACATATCAAATATTATTTTCAAAAAACCTAAAGCCAAAACACCACCACTTACTCCATTATCCATTGGTAATTGAGAAAATTGGACCGTTGAAACATTATTGGAGCATGGCGTTTGAAGCCAAGCATAAATTTTTCAAAACTGCTGCACATGTAAGTTGCAATTTTAAAAATTTGGCAAAAACTGTGACGTATCGTCACCAATTATTTAGAGCATTTAAACTTTTATCTCAAAATACTTTCACGCCGTTTCGAACTGAGGTATCAAAATATGAAATTACTCAATTAGAAAACACGTTATTTCCTTCATTACTGAAACAAAGATTTATGAAATCAAGTGACGACAAAATAATAACATGTTTTAAGCTAATTAGAAATGGTTGCGAATACAGGGTAGGGTGCTACATAATGTTATCCGAGTGTAATCAATTTCCTATATTTGGTAAAATAGAACTTATAGTCCTAGAAGAAGAAGATTTTTATTTTATTATCTCTGAGTACGATTCTAAATTTGAATCACATGTTCACAGCTATAAACTAAATGATAATTACAGAGATCAAAGTATTATGGATGTAAATAGCTTAATTTATTATTATCCGTTTTTCGAAATGTATAGTTACATGTCTACAGGAAAATATATTACTGTACCTTATAAATTTGTATAGGAAATTAAACTTACTTTGAAGTATGACAAAATAATTGAGAATAATCTTTTTATTTGATAGCCATCCGACTCGCTGGTTACCCACAGCCAGCCATTGTACGAATTTGAGACGAATTCTCAAACAAGCGAATTTTCAATGATAAGTTCAAAAGAAGCACGCGACAGAGGAATTCAGGTCACTCGCAAAATTTTAGCACACAATTCGCGTGCACAGGTTGGCATACCGTTCAAAGAGCATGGGATAGTACGGAAGATCACATTAATTATTTATATTTTAGCTTGTTGGATCAAATTCTTTGTTTACTGATATTGTGAACGAAAGTGGACAAATTCAGCTGGATGTACTGCCACCCATGGAGAAATCAAACGAAGGAATAGGAGAGTTTTCAACAAATTGAAAACCTTACTTGCAGCGACAATGTGTCAATTCCGTATCAAATTGAAGTAATTGAGGTAACAAAATGTAGAACAAATCTTTGCGTCAACTCGAAATGTTTATGTTAAACTATTATATGTTTTACAGGTTGCAAGTAACCAAGGATCACGGATAATTTCACAAAATATTTATGGATTTGTGAGTATTTAAATAATAATGCCAAGCGTTTGTTAAGATGTTCATTAGTATATTTTTCTGTTATAAGGATCTGGAAGCTGTGATCAAAGACAATGCTGAACTTTCTAAAGTTATCACGGAGAAGATTCCTGAAAATACATTTATTTTACGTTCAGAGCGCCAAAAAGCCGCTGCCGTTTTAGTTGACGCCATTATCACAGCTTTAGGGACTAGGTAGCTATAATTTTTTAAGATGTTCGTTATATCTACAGAATTCATAATTTTTTAATATTTCTTGCAGCCCAAGTAAACTCGCAATGGAGCAACTGGCAAAGGATTTTGTTTCCAAATACCCTTCTTTCGGCGATCCCCGTCGCCCAGGTCGGGGCTGGGAAATGTGGTTTTTTAATTCCGCTCATGGGGCTGGTGCAACTGGGTTTTTAGAGGACAGGCTCAAAAACCAAAGAAAGAAACTAGCATCCGCAAAAAAAGTTCCAGCTAATACCAGCTACAATAATGATACAATTGATTGGGACTCAGAGAATGAGGATTTTAAGTTACTTAACAATTTTATTATTCGCGTAATAAAACTACAATTCTTTTATAAATGTTATCAGTTGATCCCGAGCCAAACGAAGGGATTTTGGAATATCTCAGGAATAATGTTGGGAAACATGATGTGAGGGAAAAAATGATGGACACGGTGTTTCAAAGGAGATCGATAATTAGACAAAATCGAGATTTGCATATTAGTGGGCTTACTCGTACCTTACAGTGTATGCCAAGACTATTCGATACAGAAGATTTGGTACATATTAACAATGAGTCATGTAAATGTAAATTCATTTCGATCTGCAGCAGCTAATTTTTCATATCTTTTAATTTTAGATAATACAGGATTTTGACGTTCGACATCCAAAACTTGCTATGCTCATCTATCAACGCTGGCCATCTGTGTCAAAGTTGCTGCTAAAATATGCAGAAGACAGCGAAATAAGTCTCCCCAAAAAGTTGAATGTTATAAAGAAGAAATATGATCTCACCGAATGTAAATTGTTACCTTTATGATTCATATTTTACATTTAAAAATCAAATCTGTCGAAATTTTGTCTCTAGCGGACATGCAACTATTGGGATTTTGTCTGCTCCCACATATTTTACCGTCTTGCGGAAAGAAATTGTCGCAACAAGATACTGATGAAGGTGAGAAGTCACTGAGTGGGGTTCAACGTGGTCCATCTAAGAGGAAGATGAAAGTCGTCAAAGCCTCAGATACCGATTGCTTAATGAGCATGATACAATTTAAGCCGGTAATATTTGTTTAACTAAATATTTCAAATTCGATGAGGATTTTGAATTATGTAAATCGATGATTGATAATACCCTCTTATATTCGCTAGAATGGAACGCATGTTGCAGAAATTCTTCAAGAAAACAAAAGAGTGGCTCCGTTCATTTTGGCGTTGGGGACAATTTCCAATCTGGAAGTATCTTCATTTTTTGTTGTCACGTATAAAACTGCAATTCCATGCGGATCAAAGTTTTTGAAGGCTTTGGACACGTGCATGAAATTATTCACAGTGCTCTACATGCCCTTCCCTATCGAATCTCATGACCATTGGTCATTTATCGTCAATGGAGTATGTGGTCAGCCTTGCGAAATAAGCCAACTTCCTCCTGTAGTTCAAGCTTTAGTTGGCCAGATAATGTCTCGTGTGTCAAATTTTTAGTTAATTATTGCATTTTATATTTTACAAAATTGGCAAGGAGTGTTTAATATTTTAATTATCATTATACATTAATAACTTTATTTTTGAAAATGATTTTTAAATAAATTCGAAGTTTGCATTGGACAAAATTATGCGTATTATAGGGTAAATTTACATCATATGACATGAATCTTACACCATATCGGGCAAGTTTATCATTGGTATTAGGTAAACGCAATATCTGTATGGGGTAACCCGACAATACCCCATATATACCAAGATTTTTCGTTTAACCCATACAGCGTAACCTTGCTTACCCCATGGTCAAAAAATCGTTATTTACTATATGTAGGGTCGGCGCACGCTCTGGTCCATATAAAGTTATTTTTTACCCTACATTGCGTTATTAATTTTAAGTGTGTAGTTTAGTTTTCATGTCATTTTCATTTCATTTATCATTGCAAAACAAAATAGCCGTAAACATAATGCGATCAGACGTAATGGCCAGAAGGAAAAAAAACATTCAAATGTAGGTTGACAATATTGAACTTCCATACCCAAAATGCGTTATATACACTGGTAAGTCCTTGCCGGCCTCAAAAATTCACTTGCCTAATTAAGTTTAAATTCAATTGTAATATTGCGTAATTTTATCTATCCATGTTCATGAATAATCACGGATGGATCTACCCGTAATGGAAAAGCCTATATGATTGCGAAGCTCATGGCAATGTATATTAGTTACACAATACGGCTTCAGAAATCATTGAAATTTCAAAATATAAACAGTGCATTTGGTAAACTTAAAGTCGCAAATTATCACGATTTTAGTAATTGTGGTAGAAATCGCATGGTAGACATGATTATCAGTGTTGATTTAAAATGACGACTTTTGCCACACCGACAATACTCGCGTCGGTCGACAATTCATTTTTATTCATCAAACTAAAATTTTCCCGATAAAATTTACAGATAAAGCAATGAGTTAAACATATAACTATCTGTGTAAACCAGAAAGATTTAGAGCGTACCCAAAAATTTAGGTCTCGCTACAGGGGCGAAATTGCAGATATAAGCTGCGTTCTAATTATTTGATAATGATTAATCATTAATAAATTTGAGTTTTCATTTTTAGTTGGAATAATTAAATTGTGGTACCAAATTGTCATTTTTTCCATCGGTGCTGGAGAATATACAATGAGCTTCGTCCAAAAATGCTAATACCATGTATTAAAGTTAACAACTAATCTACACGCTATGTACGTATATATGTGTTAATCTAAAATCTAAAGAACGTCCGGGAATGAATGGGAATGGTCTGAAAATGTGGTCATAAAATCACAATTAGTTATCGGAATTTTAAACTTTTTGCATATGTATAATACCAAATACGTACCTACATAATTTAATTAATAGCTAAGGCCGCCACACCCCCGTTGGCGACTAGTTCGATTTTCTTGCGAAGATTTTTCATTAAATTTTTTCCCGAAGTTTTTGCCACTTCCGAGGTGATTTTCTTCCATCGTCCTTTGAATTTTCGAAAGGTGTCAGGCACATCTTGAAGCCGGGAGTATACTGACTTAGAACGTGCCCAGAATTTTTCGATTGGGCGGAGTTGGGGTACATTAGGTGGGTTGATATCTTTTGGTACGAAATCAATATTTTTCTTTCTGAGGTACTCGGTCACTTTCTTTGCATAGTGACAAGTGGCGAGGTCAGGCCAAAACAAAACTTTATCATTTTTGTGAAACCTATTAATAAATGCTTCCAATCCAGCCTTGACGCAATTTTTCAGATAAATATCTTGATTGATATTCCCTTCGAGAACTACCGGGTCTGATACATGTCCGTGACTGGAGAAGCATTGCCAAATGCAATATTTCTTTGGAAATTTGTCTTTTTTTCGTACTTTTTCTTCATAAGCCACTTCAGAGGGATCCGAGCTATGAAAAAAATGACGCCCTGGAAGATTTGAAGGGTCAACCGGAACATACGTTTCGTCATCCAGGATCACTACTTTTCCACGCATTTTCTTCAACAATTTTTGACATCAATCCTTGATCCGACTTTCTTGTACGGGCTTGTAATTTGGTGCAGGTTTTTTGGTCCTTGCTTTGATTCCTAGTTTATGGACCTTAATTTCCCCCACGTAGCTTTTGGAAATTTTGACTTTCCTGGCAGCTACAGCTACTGACGTTGATGGCTTGGTTTTGAAAATTTTTTCAATTCTATTTTTCACTCGAGTGGTCGCTAGCTTCGCCGGACGACCAGCTGGCTTCTTGAATTGCACATTTTCGGAATCCTTGAACTTTTTTATGTAGGAATACACATTTGAACTTGGAATTCCTTCCTGCTTAAAAAAGTTCCAGGTCACCTTGGAGTCTCGGTTGGCTGTCGTGTTGTAGAACTCCATCACTCGTTTTGCTAACAGCTCCCTTTCAAACAAGCTTCTTCTACCCTTATCCATTTTTGAAATTTAAGAGTGATATACCAAATTGACCCTAATGAAGTGGGCTTTCAGAAATTTAAATTATTATAGTTCGCGGGTTTATTGATTTGTCAATATACTCGCTAGAGCGCGCATTCCCATTCATTCCCGGACGTTCTTTAGTCTGATTAAATAAATATGCACACAAAACCTATTTAGTTAAGAAGTTATCTTAACCATTCAATTCTTGAATTTTCCTCCATTTTGCAATCTGGCTTTTCCGCATATTTAACCAATTCCATTCATTAGTAATTTCGGTTGGAGGATAATTGGTGCCATTTATGAGTATCTAAAGAAGGAATAATTATATTTGTTATAAGGGTTTAATTGATCGTAGCTAAGGACTTATTCCATACTTAATAATTTAAATTCAACTACTTACTTCCTATGCAAATTATCCGCTCATGTAAATATATAGATATGTATGCATGATTTGTCTTCCACAGTAGACATTTTTGGATTTGGATCTAGAGACATATCTACGTCCTGGAAATTACAGCATATGTAATTAGCAGCCTACAAATGTAAATAATTTTTTTAAAATATATATTATAAAATATATATAATACACGTCACTTACTATTTTATCTATAGTCATCATTTACATCAAGTTCCATTGTGCTGGATAACCGAGGATCCCCAATCAGTGCGATTTCATCTATACATACCTGCCAAATATATACATATGTTAATTACAATTGATAGACATTGTAGGTGAATTATTTTAAAAACTTGAACCCGGAATAATCAATATTTCATAATTACAGCTAAAATAAGCACCCGAAATGAACATCATTTCTTTGTTGCGAAAGCAAATTTAATTAACACTACAAATATATAATTCTTGATTGATACTTTTTTGACTGTTTTAAAAATTCGTACACATTGAATTCTTTAAATGGTAAAATTTATCCTAAACTTTAACATATGTATGGTCAACATATGCGTAACGATATGTGTGTTCTGTATATTAATCTATGTAACTGCAGCATGAGATCCTCAGTTACAGTCTACCAAAGAAAATATGCGCATTGTTAAAAGGATTTGGTTTAAGGAGTTGGTAGCTCAAAGAGATCGACTCGACTGCATGCGTAGAAGGTAGAAGTAATTTTCCTGTATATTTTTGTTCACAATATACTTTGTATTTACTTAAATGCGATTATTTGCACTGTACCAAGTGTTTTTAACCTGAATAAATTTAAATGAATTTGAATCTGGGTCTGAATTTGAATTAATTAAGCTGAATGGATTTAATTTATTTTCAAGGATGTTACATGCTGTTCATAAAGAAGGAGCGACGGATTTTCAGACAACTTTTACTCTTGACATTTATGTTTAACTTTGTAATTTAGATGCGGTTGCATGAACGAGATATAATTAATTTACGCAAAATCGAATCGGTGACAAATATAATGCACGGCCTGGCAGCAGTTTAAAGACTGTCAGAGAAAAATATATAAGCCACCCAACCAGTTCGATGAGCGAGTGATTTTCATAAATTACTTATTTAATTTACAACGTGCATAGTTGTATTGAATCAATGGAGAAATATTGGGGTAAAAATTTGTTGCCAAAATTTATCACAATTTTTTTTAGGTTGTGAATAAAAGATATACGTTTACCCATTGATATCAATTTTGAAGAAATATCATGACAAAAGTTGAGCATGTCATTGCATATATATGCAAGATTGCATGAAAATCTAAACACAATAAAAATTTTTATTTGGTTTTCATGGTTTCGCAGATAAATTACGTGGAATCTTCGTCTGCATGTAGAAGTACGAATAGAGTTTGTAAAATTTTCCGTCCATGAGATTAATTTTCTCTTCTGGTCAGCTCTTTTATAATCATGGTGCCACCGTGTCTGAATTGGTTTAGGCATACAAGAAAAAGTAATGATAAGGTGGGGATATTAATACAATGAGAAGATAGAAGTCCCATATTACAAAATAAGTATTTATTTATTTTCAGTTTAAGTTGATCTACTAATGGTTTATTTGCATAGTATGAAAGTTTTGGTGAGGACAGGTACATATTTAACCTATAACTTGGGATGGTGGGGATTGCATAAATATATGGCCTTCTTGATTAAATATGAATATTTTTGTACATATTATATGAATTTGACAGATTTGAATGATTTGCATCAATTTGAAGAAAGGCCTCCCTAAGAAATTAAATTCTTATTCATATGCAAATATTTCACAGTCTTATTTATAAAAATTAAACAGAAATGTTTAATCACGAATTTTTCTTGTGATATGTAGTAAAGTAAATATTTGCTGCAAATTGGCTTTAATTATGTACTTGCAAATCGATGATTCCAATGTGTAATACTTTTATGACTTACGTATTCCTCAAAATGAGCTTAGACCTACATATTTACATATTTGTGTAATAAAGGTCCCATAAATTTGTTGAAAATGTATATTTCATGCCATACAAAATTTCTGACAGATAAATTCAATCCAGTCCTTTTAAAACGTATGTATGTACGTATATACAAAATTATTTTTGTCAGAAATATTTAAATAAGCATTTTTTTCGTCTAGGTATTCTACATATTTATGTAAGCGTATAAAATTACAAATCAATATTTCTCAGAAGCGGAAATACTGTTATGAAATTGTGGGGTTGCAGTGCTGAAGTATGTTGCAGTTTTTATTTTGTGTATGCATTATAAAAATGCAATATAGTTATGTAAAATAAATATTTGTGTATAGAAAACTACGAGCTACATACATACCTACATATGTTGCATGATTAGTTTTATTTGAATTATTATGTATTTGCCCAAGTATCACATTGTACGGCCCATTAAATTTAAATGTCACGGAGGAAGTGCAAATATTGGGTTTATTTAAAACTTCTTTAAACGAAGGATCTTTAGCTGCAGGACTAGATAGACAATATGCATTGTCCAATCTTAACACGGCGTAAAGGATATACTAAAATGCTGGATTAAATGAACATAATTCATTTTCTTTTCACAATCCATATTCGGTTTACGTTGTCAACACAAATTTACGTAATTTTAGACCTGAGTTTCATTCTCGCTAAACTTTGTTACCCTTCAACCCCAATAAGAATGGATTCTTATTGCTAGAAGTTTTGCCCATGTGCATTTTTAAAGTTTAGTTTAGTATTTAATTTGTAGTTGAGAGCCACTTTGGAATGTAAATATGTAACTACAACTTTATATTGCGTACGCTAATCCGATTGACAAAACTTAAACATAATAAAAACTCTATTATTATAAAAAAACATATGCCGAGTTTAGTTATAAAATAATTTTTCGGAGAGTAGGATGGAAATGTAACTAAAAAAATCATTCGTTTCTAAACCAACTGATTCGAGCAGCTTTGTAATTTGCAAGAAATGGATTTAAACATTATCAGGTTTTGCAAAATTGCTGTCTATATAATTGAAATGATTCCCGTCCTTCAGGGCACTCCGTCTACCTTAAGACTATTTGTCCATATGGAGGTTTGCAAATATAGTATTGTAAAGATTATGTCAAACAGTTCCCAGGGAGGAGACTCATTTCTTACTAGAATTTCCGACGCAGGTTCAAATCTCAAGTATAACACATTCCAAATAGAAGAACGATTAGCAGTGGGTGCAGGTGATATCGATTATTTTAAAATTACAAATCGGCACAAAGGAAATACTCCAAGTAAATGGGGTCTATGCTTAAGTTCTATGTTGCTTATTCCACAATCAAGTAATGATTTGATGCATTGGGTGTCCACATCATCATCGAAATACTCTGAAGATGTCATTTTTTTCGTAATATTCGAAGCAGACATTATGGATGGATCGAAATTTATGAGGTAAATAATTTGTATTAATCTTATCTTAGTCTAAAAAAATCATTGCGCATTAAATATACATTTTTTCCAAGGCTTTATATAATTTAAAAATTGTATTTATAATTTTACAGTTCGATATCGCAACCGGAAACTATAGAAAAAATAGGATATTCAGGATTTCATGCTCCTCTAGTGTTTATTTTAATCGAAAACAAGAACCCGGACATCTTTAATAGATTCATATACTGTCATATATGCCACAATCCGATGACAAAACTGTATAAAATTGATAGTACAAACTTTGATTATCTTGACACACACTGCTACTTTAACTGGTTTCCGCGAGAATTAAAATTAAATGGCTTCATCAAATCAAACCGTCCCGCAGTCCTTGATGTCTCCACAGTCCCAAAGACGTCAAAATTAAGAAATTGTCCTTTATACTTTGACAGAGTCCCTAAATGTTCCGGTTTTACAGTGATTTGGACACTACTTCAAGATGAACTAAACCTTACTCTTCAACACGTTGATGACTACTACGACGAAAATTTGGAGGAACCGTCTATAAAAATCTGTTTGGATTGTACCCCCCTAAATAAGGAAGTTTCGTTCAGTGGATCAAGTGCGGTTAACTATGACGACAAATATTTACAACTCATGTACTGTGAACCCAGTTCGAAGCTACAATTTAGCTGGCTTTTTATATTTGAACCGTTCCAGACATCCGTATGGATTGCGCTACTCAGCAGCAGCATTCTGCTAGGAGTTGTCCACTTCAACGTCGAATATTCATTTGACACATGGCTAATCTTTTTAGGACAGCAACCCTGTCAAAAATGGTCATTCTTAATGTCCCTGTCCTTATTTTGCACCACAATTCTCAGTAGTTGGTACTTGGGAAAGGTGACAACAAATATTATCGCACCGCCAGACCCCTTTGTGTTCCATAAGTCGTCACAATTATTCCAGGCTGGATACAAATTGGTCATTCCAGATGAAAAATTCATCGGGATTTTTGAAGCAAGCGAAAAAACATCAGTGGAAAAACTTGGGGTTAAATATTCTCGAGAATTATTCATTGTTGAAGAATCAATTGATCAATTTAGCAAATTCGTGGACACGTCGTGGTTCACGATTATGGCTCAAATTAAGGGCACGATCGCAGTTTTTACCGATCTTCGAAGATACATTGGTAAAAAGAAGAATAATTTGGTGGGTTACATGACCAACTCGAGTTGTCACATGTTACAAGAGAATTTTCTGCAGAGTAAGTTTGTATGGATAATGAGAGGCGTGATGTCGGTAAGGTTGGCGAAGGAGTTATCGTTCCTGCACGCAGCTCACTTGCCAATCTACTGGTATGAGAGATACATGAGAAAAGTATTCTTGCACATGACGCAAAATGGGAAAACGGACAAACAAAAGGTTTGTGACGGGTTTTGTAGAATGACACTGTTTGGTTCATCGATGCATATTTTGCTAAAGTTATATATAATTAAGTGCGGTATTATTATTATTCTATTTGTTGGTGAAATTATTACTTGAATCGCGACAAATAGAGTGTGGAGTACATAATCTATTTCGCTTCTATGGTGAAATAAATTTGGAAAACGATGATAATATGATCAAATTTTATTAAAAATTTGCTTTATCTTAAAAGTTACCACACCTAAATTATGACTATCCTGCTGCTGAACAAATTCCCGATGACAAATTTGTAAACACGATTGGGCTAATATATGTATGTGCTAAAATTGAAATTGAATGATACATACAGTACATCTATCCAACCTAACGATCAATTAAGTAACATATTTAAAATCTGTTGAGACATGTAATTGTATTTAATATTTTATTACCTACTCTATGATTTCACCTTACTACCTGAATACGTTCATATTTATGGTTTGTTTCAAAATAATAGACCATTGGGCTCTCCATAACTAATAACATTGGAACTTTGAAAATTTCTTGTACAGGCAATTATTGATCTAATTTCAAAATTCGACCAGTTTTGGAAAGATTGAACCCTTGGGCGAAATATATATTGCCCGATTTTTGAAAGGTCCTATTGAGCACCAGGTATACGAACATTATTCATCCCACATTTCAAGGCCATCGTTTACATTTAATTAGCAAAATTAATCTTAAACGTGTTTAGTTAATAAATTATACCCCG